GATTGTTCTCGGAACACTCCGTAAATGACTCGGTTTATACAGAAAGTCTATTATTGTATTTGTAGGATTTGAACTAAATAATACAGGAAATGCTGATGGTAGTGATGAAATGATCCGAACGCCAAACACCCAGCTCAATGATCGTAGCGAAGATGACGGGAATGCAGAGGATGCACTAGAACCTGCAGTTCTTCGTTAGTCACGCTCTGAGAGTAGCATATAAAAAGGGAGAGCCAGGGAGGAGGAAAAGTACCTGATTTCATAACTGCCCGCACGAGTCATATACCGCACCCACTTGACACTACTGTAGTTGCTCTTCTCAAACACCTTGAGATACCGCACCAGCAACCCACTACTGGTGAACATCAACAGACTAAACGACAGACTCAGCGGCGGCCGGCTCCACGCCTTCTGGTTCGTCATGCTGGTCAGCGTCGCCTCCGCCGTAAGCACGTACTCGCTGCCGCCGGAGAACCGCGCAATCTTCCAGACGATATTGTTATGCTCGGGCTCGTACTTGGCGCGCCCCTGGCTCGTCCGCTCGGTCGTCTTGGCCGTGTTCAGCGGCGTCGGGATGCGGATGACGACATTCGTCGCGAACAGCTTCGAGCTGTAGTTCGCCTTGATGGCAACGCTGTACTCCACCTTGGTGGTGCCGACCTCCCGCACGATCGGGTGCACTTTGAAGGGGAGATTGACGTTCTCCGTGGCGCGGTACCGCATCAGCTCGAACTCGCCGTCCGGCGGCACAAACGAGATGATGCGGTCCGCGTCGAAGCGGCCCAGTTTCACGCACTGGTGGAACTGGCAGTCCTCCAACGTGACGGAGCCGGCGGCCGCGCGGGTTGCTTTGCTGCCGGAGGGGGCGTGCGAGGACGAGGACGGGCCTGCGCCGCCGCCGCTGTCGCCGTCGAGGAGGAGGCGGTCGTTCAGCCCGAACTTGCACTCCGGGGTGCCGGAGAGGTAGGCGCGCATGACGATCTGGCCGGTGACGTCGGCGCGGAGCACGGTGCCCGTTGCGGACATGAGCAGGTTCACGTCCTCGATTACGTCCACGAAGGCTTCGTTCTTGCGGTACTTGACGTCTGCGCGACGCCAGGAGAGCGCGCCTGTTGCTTGCATTGTGATCCGGCTCGAGTCGGTCGGGTTGTTGACGATGGCGGACTTGACGCCCTCCGTTGTGATGTACATCTTGAGCGTGTCCGGGTCGGTGTTTTGGGGATAACCAAAGTCGAGGATTTCTGGAACGGTTATCCTCTACTCTAGACCCCCTGTTTGAGGGAATACTCACCATCCAGCAACTCATAAATCAAAACAAAGTTATTCTTGACGGCCTCCTCGTCAAATTTCCCAAAGTAGCTCTTCCCCAGCAACACCAGCCGGTACAAAAACTCAAACACCAATGCTGCGTTGGCGTTGCTCTTGGTCACCGCCACCAGATAGATATTCTCGTGCTTAACATGGCTGAACGTCGTCGATCCCAGCGTCAGAATGGGCGAGCGCACTTGGGGGTTGGAAATGACTTGGATGCGGAAGATGTCGGCCAGGCGCGGTCGGCAGTCATTGCGAAAGGCGCGAAAGATGAGATTCTCGCCTTTTTGGTTGAAGACGAGAATGCCGGAGAGCATTTTGAGTATGGGGTCACTGAAAAGGGGAAAGGAGGGCGTCGGAATGGGTGCCCTGGCAGAAGGGAGGGATGAAATTGGGGATCTTGCCGGAGAAGCTCTCAGGATAAATTGGGGCCGGAGGTGGGGAAGTCGGTCAGTTTAGTCCAGAACATTTCTTCTAAGCAATTACAGAGTACTATCAATCAGGTCAATCAGTTCGTAAAATTACTGCCGAGTCTCACAATGTTAGGAGTGTTTACTTGAAATGTGATGCTCAATTCACGGTCGCTGCATATAATTTAGCAGCTTAAGTTGCAAGACCCTAAGTACAAACGTCACAGGTACAGCAGATAGCTTGGACACAATGACGGACATGCATATGAACAGATCGGCATGTCCTTCTGCAACAGATTCAATCTCCAGAGAAACAAGTCTGAAATTGCGGACGTGGTATCATGAAGATGACAAGATCCAACAAGTAAAAAGTCCAGTATTCCGAATTCGCCTTCAAACCCGCTAGATATCACGCACAACGGCCGTTTCAGGGGTATACAAGAATTAAAAGGGGTATAAAGGTATTAAAGTAAGAGGAAAAGAGAAAAAAGACAAGGCCCCAGATGACAGTATACCTGACGTGTTGCGACTTAGAATCCAAGCCCAACGCCACTGTTTGGTCTCGTCCCCGGCAGTGACACGCCCTCGCTGTGGATGATGCCAACCTTGGGATCCGGGATTTGGATGTCCAAAGACATGTATGCCGTTCGTCGCAGACTCCATATATGTACCCCATCCTTCGCGCCGACCTCGCGATTCCACTTGTCAAGCCAATCCTCCACGTGTTGCAGATGGCTCTTGATACCAGGGGCACCGATATCTTCCCACAGCCAACCTGTGACCAGACCCAGCGCGCCATCAAGCAGATTGCGGAAACTGAACGGATCAAAGGCCTTGATGAGTTCCTCGTTCACCGTCGCAATCACGCGCCGAAACTCCTGTTCCGGTAGTAACGGGTCCAGAATCTCAGGATAGAGGTTCGAGAACGTCGGCGCCAGATCCCCCTTCACCATCCAGTCGCGTCGTATTCGAATAATTCGAGTCGTGAGATACTCTTGCGACCCGATGGGAACATGTGGATTGACATGAGGGTAGCAAGGATGCGCGGGACCCCATGCCAACTCCTCCGCGACTTCCGCCTCGCCGCCGGTCGGTGGCGCACCTGTGTTTGATGGAATCGAGGCAATTTGCGACTGTGAACGCAGGGAAACCTGTGACGGAATATGGCGCGGACGATCCCCATGCAACGGTCCCAACGATCCCTGCCGATCAGCAAGTGTATCCTGGGCTAGATGGGCCCGTTCCGGCGACCTGATGTCTTTTCCCTCTTGAGAACCATTTTTGCTGTGTTCCGCCTGTTCGGACATTTCCTGCACAGCGGAATGGCGATCGAATGTGCCACTGCGCCTCTGCCCTCGAGGCACTGCGATGCTGGAGCGTCCACTCTCGGCCTCGCCTTGACTGCGCTCTACTACCAAGCTAGTTGGAGATTGTGACAATCGACTGCGGCGTCGTTCCGGGATGGTCAGAAGCGGATACGCGTCTCGGTGCGCTTCGAGAGGAAGGTGCTCGTCGGAGATCTGCAGCGGATGCGGGACAGTGACGGGGGTAATTCGGGGTACGTAATTGACTGGGTTAGCGAGTCGGACCGCGGGGGGTCGGAGTATGGTAGTGGTGAGCAATGAATGTGTCCGCTTTTGGAGCTGTTTTGGCCGGAGGGTGGATTTCTTCAGGCTATTTCGAGTGGGATATTCAGTAAAGTGTGATGAGTATGATGAGGCACGACGGTCGGGCTCGAGGGATCGGTGGGTGTGATGGCGGTGGAGGCAAGTATTGGAAGTCTCTTCAGCCTCGGGCGAGGATAGTATGTGCGAGTGTTTCCAGGTCGTTGAAGACGCCGTTTTGGGAACAAAGACTGAGCCACCGGACGACAGGGATAGAGGAGCGGACGAAAGAGTCGTCGCAATGGCTTAGGGGGAGGCCAGGATATTACCACTACTATCGCTAGTAGGAGCAATAATAATAGTAATAATAGGGATGATGATGGTGGAGGGCAAGGAAAAACAGGCAGGCGGTGGTGTGCAGCAGGCGAGGCTGTGATTGGCGGACGAGACTCAGAAAGGGGCGAGGCAGGGGACATGGAAGGCCCAAGCAGAGCACAATGACATCGACGCGGTGGTCCCTCGATGTCGATGGCTGTTGATGTTTGAATTGATGCTCAGGATGATGTTTGGTCAAAAAAGAGTTTGATTGGTTTGATCTGATTCGAACTGCTCTATGTACGTTTCTCAATGGTTTGTAGTCAAGCAGGTCTCCGTCTCAATAGAAGAGGCTTCCCAACAAGGCTGCACAAACAGGAAAAAGAAGGGAAAAAGGGGAGAGGAAAGAAAGATAAAGAAGAGAACATGCAAAGACGCGACAATTGATAGATATAGGCGCAAATTAAGAGCAAAGGTGGATAGTCAATAATGACCAAGACGATCCAATAGCCCAAGTAAGGCCCAAGAGTCGCCTCAATTTTCTCTCCCTCATCTCCAAGAAAACTTAGTCTCTCCTGTATAAGGAAAACTCCAAGGGTATGACGCTATGTCAGTACTTTGTACTTCAGGAAATCGACGCTTACGACCTCGTATTATTGGTTATGAATCCTTTGAATTGAAAATGCGGGACGTGGATGGATGTCTCATTTCCTGCATTCTGTCATGCAGTTCATACCTGTCAAACGTCTCACGATTGGAATAGGAGCCACTTGTCACAGTCTTGCAGGTTTTCATACAGCAGTCATGTTTGGCTCTGTCTAGTCTACCCCATGGAGTAGGACTTAACAAGGAAAAAGATTGATTTGGGAACTTATTTATCACCATCACAGACTGTCCCCTGCCCTAAGCCCCTGGAGTTGCTGCTATATTTGTCTGCCGGATAGCTCGGCCAGATCGACTATTCCTTGCCTAACTATGTCATAAGTACCCAAGGATTTAGTACAAATCAATCTAAAAAACAGCTCAGTGGATCAAAAGTTCTATAGTGAGGCGTCCGGATCGTCCAGGATGCACCAGGCCATCCGAACAATGGGTCTTTCTTGCGTAACTATCTCCTGGCTTGATTTGTAGAACTGGTTTAACCAGACGCTTTCTAAGGAACATTGGTCGTCAGGACCATTGTCTTGAAACTAAACATTACCTATTTTACCACAGACATCAGACTTGCTCCTGTAAAACATGTGTAAAGCTGAAACATCAGGTCTTGGACCGCGCCTCTGTATGGAGTAGCCAAGGGCGTAACTTTACCCCGGAGTATCCGGGATCATCTCTATCGGTCTATCTGTGTAAAAGCGCTGTGTTACCGCCCATTCATGCTTTGATTCGCCCTGGCTTGCATGCGTCGCATGGCTTCCCGATGCAAGTCACTCATATCTCCACGCTGCATCCCCTCGGCTATTACCCTGTCGAGATTGACTTGCAGGGAGGAGGAATTCCGCCCCAGTGCACCAGAAGGAAACGAAGTGTGAGAGCCAAAGCCTGTCCCGCCGATTGGTAGATCCTGTTTCGCCAAGGGATTGCGTTTGTCATTCAAGTTTTCCCGAATAGATTCTCTCCACGCGGCCATGACCGCTTGAGCATTTCCGGGCCTCGATACGCTCGTTTGACTCCATTTTGGCGCTGAGACTGGCGTGCTTGTATGCGGGCTTTGGACTTTTTGTTGATGCAGCATTGCACGGCGACGAGAGAGAGGGACGTCATCCCCTGATTCCGGAAATGAAGTCATCGGGGAACTTTGGGCCGAAGTTCCCAACGCAACGGACTGTCTAGGGCTCGACTGCCTAGGGCTCTTCCGCGACGCCCACGGATCGAGGCTGAGACAAGTAGACGAAACCCGACTTCGCATCATATCCTCTCGTACGGCTAGGAGCGGGGGCGGCCCTTTCCACCTCGGTTTGGTGAGCTCAAGTTCGCCTTGAGGTTGTTCAGACGGTATAGGTGGGCTGGATGCGCCTGGGGAAGCATTATGCCCGGTGCCGTAGAACACCGCGCTCTGGAAAGGGCTAGCGGACGATAGAACGATCGTGGAAGATTCTCCTGAAGACCTGTCCACTGGTTGAGCTTCTCCAACTCTTTGTGGACTGGTAGCCGACGTGGTCCGCAACCTGTAGTCAATAGATATTTGTTGACAGTCGGTTGGGCTGTGGTGTTCTTTCCCGGTGCTGGCACGCAAATTGGCAGCAGGTGGTGGCTGCGCAGTGAGAGGTGTTTGCAACAGATTCTCGACATTGACAGGAGCAGGAGCCTCTTCGTCTATAGGGCTCTCCGCTGCTTCCTTTGTGATAGGCTCGATAGGTTCTGGCTGGGGAATTTCTGCATCACAGAGATGCTTGGCCCATTCATTCGTGCGATAGGTCTGGACTACCCTCGATGTCCGCTCCGGAAGATGTTTCACTGTTTTGGTGTCCAGTTTGGGCTTTTCCGTTTTTCTTTTACTCTTTCCTTTGGAATGCGCCGGCGAGGGTCGCTGCCTCTCGGATTCAACACCTATGCCTGGCGGCGCCTTCAATGAGGTATGTTCCGCTGACACTTGAACGTTCTGCTCCTCCGAGCGGCTAGTCGTATTTTGTTCGATCGAATGTCTGTCTTTGCAGTCTTCAGTCTCGGCTGTGGCGTTTGTCTGTAGATCTTTGGAGGTCTCTAAGGACTGTCGTTGTGTTCTCTCAGAGACCTCTTCGGCCTCTGGATCGGCTCGAGAAGGCAATGGTGCACATACTTCATCAGCTTGCGTTGTCGACTGTTGGTCCTCTCTATTCGGCCGAGGCTCAAGTTCTTGCAAACTTCCCCCAGTGTCATCAGATAGATGACTTTCGTTCTGACCAATGTCTTGAGCCTCTGTGTTCAATTGCTTCAGTAGCTTGCCGTCCGTACAAGTGTCTCTTCCTTGCGCATTGTGCAAGCCCTCCTCCTCTCCATGAGCATCTGTTCCTTGCACAAGAACCGATTCCTGAATGTCGAGGCATTCTTCTTCACCGTGGATTCCTTCACCCTTTCCGACTTCCATGTTGCTGTTACGCCTATCAGAGGGAACAACAGCTTCTTGCACTGCTATTTCAGGCTCCGAGCGAGCCTCGACCTCATCTTCGCGCGATTCAATTTCAACGCCATGGCAATCCGAGCTCGACCGTCTATCACTGCTATCATCCACGGCGCTTTCTCCAGACATATCCGACTCGTCATCAATATGCGCGAGGGCTTCTTGTGATGGTGCAGGTCTCAGGCTGCTTTGTATAGACATTCTCTTCCAGAGTGTTATTCCGGAGAAGCGCTTCGAGCGTACCGTCGCGGTGTCCGAGCCAGCCATGGCAGTCACATCCGATTCCATGTCATCCATCAGTCTCGCAGTGGCCGCCCCGTCAAAGACCTTGAATGGCATTGGATGTGCGCCGTCAGCTGCCTTCTCAGTCGCATCTCCATGTCTTTCAATTTCAGTATTTCCCGTAGCCCGAGTCACATCTGAGAACGAAGCCTCACTGCCCTCCTGTTTCCTACAGTCAGAGCAGCGATAAGAGACCTGGGATGAACCCGAAATGCTGTTGACGTCGGCCACGTCACCCTTCTCGAGATCCTCTTTATCAGCAGCACATTGAGTGCCGTCGCCAAGCTCGGGCATGAGTTTTGCTTCCACATCCGCGTATTGAGCTTCCCATGCTTGTCTTTCTCGCATGTTATTCTCCTCGAGCCTGCGGGCAACTTCAGCTTCGGCCTCTTCTTTCCTTTTCTCTTCCTCTTTCTTGGCTGCTTCCTCCTTGCTTCGCTTGTCTCTGATCACTTTCCACAGTCTGAGCTGCGATACAACGCCTAAGATGGCAACAATCACTGTGACCGCAAGCTCTACCCGGATATTACGAGTGATGGGGTAGGTTCCAGTGCCCAGCGGGAATACATCTTCGTTGAGTCCTTCATGAAGGGTGAGCAAGGGATTGTGACTGAGAACCGCATACGCCGCACTTACCCCATATATAGAGCCAAAACTCTTTTAGTCCAGCCAGGCTGTAGCAGTCGATTCCGAGGGCAACAGCCGTACCTCCGGAAACAGCAGCCGACACTATCAGCCCATAAGGACGCGTGTGGTGACTAAAAGACAAGGCGTAGAATGCGACAGAGATCGCGCCGATGAATCCAGCTTTGGCATTTGTGTCCGTGAGAAGTCCTCCCGGCCTCAAACAAAGAAGCCACATGCTCACACAGAACCCTCCCAAAAGGCATCCAAGCCCTTCGGTCAATTCCTTGAACACAATGGAAAACGCTCCAAAGGTCACTCCTGTGAAGAAAATTGCCACGAGGTACGCTCCTTGTACCGCCACGCGCACAGGAGGATTCATCACATATACAATCAAGACCTGATTCGTCAGTGTACAGTACGACTATGCTTGTCATGCGATAGGCTCACCGTGACTCCTAAGCTCGTAAGAAATGCAGCGGATAAGAAAACTTGAACCCTGGGTCAAATATGTTAGCTCAAAGGATTCTTTACAGGCGGGATTCTGATGGTACCATAGATTGCGTATTCCAATCAGTGCAAGAATGGCTCCCGTAGCTATAAGGATAGAGCCGCCAACCCCAAACGCTGGAGTCACCCGGGGCTCAAGCGGAAGGACGCCAGGCGCAGGCGTGACTGTTCCATCTTTTCATGATTAGCTTTCAGAATGTCCCAATGAGGAAGTATGCACCCACTTTCAGAAACAGTCGATGTGTTGAGCGACACGATAGTCGTTGATGCCGGAGCGGTGGTATTCGACGTGGTCGTAGAGTTCACTCTGACTGTGGCATGGTTTACTGCGCTCGTCGCTGAAGCGCTTGGGGCTTGATTCCCTGATATCGTCGTATTTGGCGATTCGTCTCGGGCTTCTAGAGCACCCACTGGCTGGATTCTATTGCGACCAACATGCGGTATCGATGCTGCAGAAACAGATAATCTAGATATAAAGCAGACAACCAAAGCAAGGAGAGGTAGCAATCTCATGTTGACTTGTGAGGGTGACTTTGTAATGATCTTAAGCGTAATCGACAGAGGCTGGTGACGCTGACAAGTACTTCTGAGACAGTGTCGACAGATCTTTTCTATTGTTCTTCACATACTTTGGCCTGTAAGTTCACCGTGGACAATGACAGTCAAGAACAACATCAATCGGTGCCAAAGCTGCGCTTTACTTTCAAGGAAACGTGACTGTCAATTTTCGAACAAGCTGGGAGACGAAAGGAGATCTAAGTTTTTCCAGACATATATGTACTGATATACATCATACGCGCTTTTTCGGCGTGACCACCCGGAAAGTGAAAAGGAGCATCCTTATGGCCTAGGTGCTCAGAGAGCTGGGAATAATATTTTGTAGGGATAAATCCCAGCCGACACACCGAATCTTGCAAACGAGAGACGGACGGTAGACCAGGCGCATCGAAAAAGCGAGTTGTTCCACTGCTGATTGGGGATTAAGGAAAAGCAAATAATTGCATCGCCGAGGGCCATGCATGATAATTGTATTTTCTAGGAAGGGATCTACGATCAGTATCTCGCAAAAGCGATGAAAACTAACGATCAGTGAGCCACAGTGAGCCACGTACCCCTATGAGGCATGACCTTACCAGCGGTCAAGTAATGGGCTTCTTGCAGACAGTCATTCCAGGGTTGTGTTGCATGATCTGAACTGTGAAAGAAGGTTAAGCTAATCTGCAAGGAAGGTGTCTTTTTTAATTCCCTGACCCTGTCCCTTGGGCAATCGAGGGGTCGGCTATAGGTGTATTTATAACGACAATCATTGGATAATTGTTCAAGGGATTCAATGTCAACACGGCCTGCTATCACTACAAATGAGAACAGCTGTGGCGTTGATTTCACATTTCAGGCGTTATGACAGGTTGACTTGCACAGTCAAGGGTAGAGTAAGTATTCGAAATCCGATTCCCAACAAAAATGCGAATATGACTCGCGCAGCAAATGACATGATGAGCAGTCATATCGGATCTGAAGTTGGATGCAGTACGCATGAAGCCACTAGCAAGTCAAGCTCGAGTGTTTCACACTGGTCAGTTCATCCTTAGCGAGGACCCAAACCGAGTAGATAACCTTCGCGTCCAGAGTGGGCCTTGCTATTGTCGTCATCTCTGTTGATCAGGCTAGCATCATTAGCCTTCATTAGTTTAGGACGGTAGGATGATCGGCTGCATAGAATGACAGGTCTGATCTCTCGGCTTTCCTAGGCGCCGAGACTGCCCTCTGAGAAGTGGGCATCCCGCCGCTTTATCTTCTGATCGTTCGTTGGAATCGTCTTTAATTTCCGAGTTAGTTATTTTTTGAATGTGCTTAGCCGAGTTATCCATTGTTTCCACCGCAGGGGGTTTGCGACAATTGGCTCTCTGAGGTTGAGAATGCCAGGCAAATGCAGAGAAATCGAGCCGAATCAAGATTTCCAGGGTTCGCAGCAGGATGACAATAGTCGGACGCACGGCCGATGCAGAAAGGAGTCCGAAAGGGCGGAAGCTGAAGGGCTAGATGCTCGAATAGCTTGTACTTGGACAACCGTAGTTGCACGTACTCCTTCGAAGTTCCCTTCGCGAAAAGGCGTTGGCAATGTCCTGCATTTGACATCTTACAGTGGATTTGAAAACCACTATGTTCGGGCTCATTGAACTACTTCCGCGTTGGATATCCCTTTGGCCCGTCCGGGTACACCGGTGGGCACCTATGAAGGAACGCATGCATAGCTCCATGGCAGAAGATTAAGCGGACAAATTCGGATTCTAAAACATTGTTGCTCCATATAGATCCCAGAGATCAATTAATATACAAAAAAATAGCGTAAAAGAAGCAAGTTCTTGCTCAAAGTAGATATTCTGAAGCGATTGTACCAGAGGTAGGAATAGACAAACACTCCCTAAGTATATCCGTCTTCAATTATCACGTGACCGCAACCGCGCGCATCATCGCGGAGCCGGGAGAGGACCACCATCACAAGCACCTACAAGTTATCCTTCTTCCTTAACGTTCCCTACCTATTTATTACCATCTCAAGCTCAAGCTTAACACATTTTCATCTATTCAGACCGACATGTCTGCCCTCAGTTCGTCACTTCGCCCCTTCCTGCGCGCCTCTTCCGGTGCAGCTCTCTCCGCGCGCTCTTTCAGCACCTCCTCGCCGCGCTCGATCGCACGCATGATCATCACTGGCCGTCTCGCTGCCGAGCCCGAGCTGCACGCCACCTCAACTGGTCAGGACGTCATCAAGTATGCGGTGGGTACGACCTACGGCAAAGGGGATAACCGGCAGACCAGCTGGTTCCGCGTCTCGAGCTTCCAGCCAGAGGGTTCGCAGCGGGATTTCATTCTCAGCCTGCCGAAGGGGTGAGTATTTTCGCTTATCGTGCTTGCAGCTCTATCTGCATTCATTCCGTGTTCCTAGCACATCATTGGGCTATGGTTGCAGACTTAGAGCAGTTGAAGTCTGATGCTGATCGTTTCTTGTTCTACCAGAACCCTTGTGTACGTTGAGGGCGATGCCACCATGCGTTCGTACGAAGACGCAGATGGCAAGAGACAGTCCGCCCTGAGCATTGTGCAACGTAAGCCAGCTACCCTGTTCATGCATCTCCATGTGAGAAGAATCCATACTAATGCATGCCGTGACCAGGGACGCTCGAGGTCCTCAAACGCCCGTACAACCCCGACGCTACTGATTCTGGAACTTCTTCCCAATAATCGGCTTCAAGGACAAGTGGAGATAGAAGAGGAATGATCGGTGGGGTAGGCTTTTTGGTTAAGTTTCCTGTTGGGGTAGATCGCTGCTCGTTAAGAATCTTGTCTGACATCTCCGCTTTGTCGGTGAAGCCGACATTTGGCCGCCGCTCCCTTTGACTTGTATGTATTGTAGTTGCTGTGCTGTACCAGTATACCCTTGAATGACACTACTTTGACCGTCCGCTTTTAAGTTGACTTCTTTTCTCTTTAATCTTTCGAGTGTCCTTCCATTGCGGTCGCAAGAGACGAAGATATTACGAGTCCCCATCGTCTGATATTGCCTGATTCTGCTAGTGTTGGGTGTAATTTGATGGAGACTGAAAGGATTGCCCTGTATGTTGATATATGAGCTCTAAGTTGAAGCGTTACAGAAAACTTGGAAAGGGAGATATATTATGGTGTACCTGCTCTAGTTAATAGGACAAAAGGAATAGAATACATTGTCAGTCAGAAGTAGAAGACTTTCCCATCGGAGGACTTGTGCCACTAGCCGGTGAGCTTACACCTGCAGCTCACTCTCTTGACTAATCACTTGCTTCACGCGAATAGTATCCGGTCCGACTGGGGCATGTGTGAAGTCACTACTACCACGGCTCTGGCTCGTACCGGCCCAGGCGTTAGTGGATACTGTGGTGGCTGGAACCGAAAATATTGGGTCAGAGGTCGCTGTTTCCCGTGTTGAAAGGAATGTGCGGCTCAAGAGACACCTTGGTAGCGGAACCCAGTGCGATCTTGTCGTAGAGGAACTCTCTTGTCGGGGCGGGACCCTTTTCAATATCCTCGTGGCTGGAGGTGGTCGTCCCGCTCGTGGTAGAGTCGGTCGTTGTTCTGGGACTGTATTAGCATGAAGGATTAATCATTTGTCGGTGAGAACAGAAGATAGCCCTTACCCAGTTCCAGACGACTGCTTCCTAGAGGATAGCAATTTCGCACGGCTCGCTGTAAAAGATGCCGAGGTGCCTTGCGACAAAGTGCGCAAACCAGAAAGACACTTCCCCAAGCCCAAGAGGCAAAGAGCGGATTGGTACAATCTCAAAGCATCATTGCAGCATCCGAAAAGGATGAAGAGCACGTATCCCGCAGCCACAGGAATCCAGCGATCAAAGAAGACTTCGCCATGCATTGGAATCTTGAGGATGGTGCTCCATGGTGAGTGTGGCCCATGGAGGCGGCTCCATGAGTATGGATGCCAGGGCAAATTGTACATAAGATTGCGATAGACAACGTAAGCCTGAATGGGCAGAATCGTCCAAAGCATGACGCACGCAAGGAAAAATAGACGCAGGAATCTGGACTTGTTGAGATGGCTGTTGGCGGAGTTGAGTATGTCCCCAAACTGGCTCCGATATTTGTGGAGGCGATAGAGGGTTAGCCCTGTGTGGTCGTCAGTCATGAGCAGAGAAGGACGATGGTGCCTTATTCATACCGCAATAGAAAGCAGCCAGAAGGCAGATTATAGGAGGCCAGATGAACGCTAGCACAAGGCTCATCCAGCTTTGATCAAAGTTGTTGACGCACCCTGAAATAGTGAGGATCAGGTATCGGCTCCTTTGGTAGAGGATATGTGTACTCATTGCGATCACGGGGATGATCACGCAGAATGAGATATCCATCAGACGGTTACGCCAACGTTGGCTGGTGCTGGGGACGAGCATAGCGCGTCTGGTGTCGAGCACAGAGGCCAAGCTTCGGAAGATACAGACCAGAGTCCCCGGTATGCCAACATAGCTCGCTATCATCACCTTGGTCTCGACGTCACAAAGGCCCTTACCATCCCACCATGAATCGACATCGTCCGTTGGCCAGATAAGTGCATTGATAATGTTAAAGGTGTTGCTGAGAAGAAACCAGCTAATGAGGGCAGTAGCGGGGAAATTACGATTCTTCCAATGTAGGATGATCGGTGGAATACTGACAACAACTGCAATGGAGGATAGCACAGGGAGGACCACAGCCTGCGGGCTACGTCCTGTTGTAGCTGAGTCCATCAGGGAAACTGTCCTCTGGAGACGAACACGCTTTGACTTGAAGGTTCTGATGGAGGCGCCGATGTCGTGCACAGTTGTTTCTTCTGCGGATCGAGTCGACGGTGAGTTTCTTGAGGTCCGAATGGCAGGAGCAATGAGCCAGCACCGCTCAGTTAAAAGAAGGAGATCACAAGTCGCATCTGAGGAGGTACACAGGGGGGTAAGCAACCGGAGACAGGAAGAACAGTCGTATGTCTTATTGAG